CAGCTTTACAGAATGTAACCTTGTAAGTATCTCAACACAATTCTATATCATAACATGTGGCAAGTGCTTACCATATGGTATATTATGGTAAAATTCTTTTGCAGTGGTTCTTCCCTTACTGTGATAACAAGCACTAGATCATGATTTGTGTGAACATCAAAGGAGAAAGGTTTGACGTGCTCGACAGCCTCCGTAACAAAAGTTTTGAAGAAAACTACAAACCAATGGCAGAGAGGGTTGTCCAGTACACAATCAACTACATGAAGACATAGTTTGCACACAAGACAGTAAAGTGGGAGAGGTTTACCTGGTTCAACCTCAAAAAAGTTACACAACCAGACTCCAAGTCATGTGGGATGTACATCATCAGGTGGATGAGATACTGGCAAGGTAAGTACAACAGTGTCCTGACCAAAGATTGGAAGAGGATTGATATGATAAATGAAGAGAGAGAGTGCCTGATGTTGGACATAATTCTTGATGAAGACAATCTTGAATGAAAATTCTATTATGGTTGTGTTAAGTAGTAGGAGGGTATAACTAAGCTTTTGAGAACAAACTCACAATGTTCAGTAGTTCATTTGTGTTAGTTAGTAGGATGGTATGAAAGTACTGTTATGGTCATCTGTGCTAGCACTTAGATGTCAAACAGCTTATTATGGGCGTGTTATGATAAAGTGACATGTTCTGTTTGTGATTATGTTAGCTAATACTTAGCATTCTACTCAAACCAAATATAATAATCTTTTACATGTGTTGATAACTCCCAAACTACCACACTATAACACATGGTATGACATGGTAAAATCAAATTACGACACTATACCACATGGTATGACTAGGGATGGCAATGGGTCGGGTTGGGGCGGGTTTTGTCAAACCCAAACCATGGGTTTATTCGCCAAAAAACCCGGGGTAAAACCCGCTGGGTTTGAAAAACTCAAACCCAACCCAACCCAACCCGCTGGGTATCGGCGGGTTCATGGGTACTGTGGTAAAAAATTTACAATAACAAGTTTATTTCAAAATAAAAGTTTAACATCAATTTTCTCATACAAATTATTCATACAAAAAACACCAATCTAAAGCATACAAGCAAACCGCAAATGATTAATACAAATTGTTCAAAATTAAAGATAAACATCTATAAACAATAAGATTAATTGAAAGCTTCTTCCTCATCAACTAAGTTTCTTCACTCTTCAGTCTTCACTTCATAATATCAACTTCATTCTAAACAATTAATTATATGTATTGAGCGGGTACCCGTGGGGCGGGTTTACCTAAACCCAAACCCAACCCGACCCGGTGAATAGTGTAGCGGGTTTAAACCCGGACCCGGCCCAAAACCCGTCAACACGGGTTTTACCCGCGTTGACCAGGTTGGATCGGGTGGGTACCCGTGGGTTCGGGTTTTGTTGCCATCCCTAGGTATGACATGGTAAAATCACTTACAGCAGCAACAAAATCCCAAAAAACCACACTATACCACAAGCTATAAATGGTAACATCAAATTACCAAATTTTACCACATGGTATGACATGGTAAAATCAATTATCACACATAACCCCACCTTTAACTTCCAAACTACCAAACTATACCACATGGTATAACATGGTAAAATCACTTACAACAGCAACAAAATCCCAAAAAACCACACTATACCACAAGCTATAGATGGTAACATCAAATTACCACATTTTACCACATGGTATGACATGGTAAAATCAATTATCACATAGAACCCCACCTTTAACTTCCAAATTACCACATTTTACTACATGGTATGGCATTGTAAAATCAATTACCACACACGACCACACATGCCACTTCCAAATTAGCACATTTTACCACATGGTATGACATGGTAAAAATCAATTACCAAACACAAACCCCACATGCCACTTCAAAATCACCACATTTTACCACATGGTATGACATGGTAAAATAAATTCAACAAGACAAGAAAAATATCCAACAAAACCAAAACAAATCCGAAAGAACAAAATAGGTTCAACAACCCAACCAGCTTCAACCATTCATTCACATAATCCTCTACGAAAACTGTGATTGAACAAATTAAACAACTATCACAGCTTCAGCCTCAAACTTTCTTCAACATCCTTCAAATTCTCCTCCTCAAGCCTGCTCGTTTTTCTCTTCTTCTTACTTACAGCCCTTGCAGCCTCCGCAACTGGAATTGGTCGTTTTGAAGGCTTGAATAAATCTTTTTTAGGCTTAAACCCCTTCACTTTTCGGACCGGTAAATCATCTATTCCAAGATAACAAAAACAAACTACAATTAAGGACATATATATATATATAAAATCATCCTCCTCAAACATTGCATCGATCAAAACACAAAACTCTAAACAATCAAAAACTTACTGTCACAGTTAGAAGATGTGCTTGTTCCAGTAGGTTCAATAATCGGTGGGACTTCACACTTTTTGATCAAATCAGCCATGAAGGCCATGGCTGATTTATAAAAATCATCATCCAATAAAACCCTGCTGATCATTGATGCAGAAACAACTGACAAATTGAACAGACGAGAGCTGTACTTCGCTGGAATATCAGTAGACTGAACTTCAAAACAAAAGTTCCCTCCAGTTTTTGTTGCTCTTGTCCACCGTTTCAAAATCAAACTACTAGGAATGTGCTGGAACTTCAGATTTCATGTTGTAGACCACAACATATTATATCCCTTTATTTGATGCTTACGGATCAAACCACTTGACTCCCACTTACGGCAGGAACACTTGATTTCATCATTATCAAAATCAACCTTCAACACCCTACTATCTGACCTTGTAAGGTCATCCTCCAATATGAATACATCAAACATTCCTACATGTCCTTCTGGTTCTATCTCCGTATTTGAAAAAATATTATATGCAAGAGATTCTTTGTATTGATCCAGGAAAACCTTGAATATCTTCGGCGTATACACATTAGCAACTTGCTTCACAATAGGACTAGTAGAAAACCGAGAATCAACCAACCTAGATAAGGTATAGTGCTCTTCTTGTTCTTCAGCATCCCTCTTATTATCAAGCATCCTCTCAAAGTGCACAAAGAATCTAGTAACGCTAAACTCTGACTGCAAGTAATGTCGAATATTACTATTGCAGCACTCACTTAGCTGGGTACTCTTTATTCCTGCACCAAAATAACAGTTCACCCAGGCTGAAGACCACTTCTTCCTGACTTTGTAAATGCCCTGTAACCAACTGTGTCCCAAAGCTCCCTTCCCAGGAAAACACTTCTCAATCATCTTCTTCCAATTATACTCAAAATCATCCTCATCATCAGCATTATACATCAAATAACTAAGCTCACGAAGGAAATCAGAGTCACACAAACTTCCCAGATTAACAACTGCATTCTGAGCAATATGCCATGTACACAGCCCATGAAAACAATATGGGAAAACAAACCTTATACCAGCAGCAATTGCAGAAGCCTGATCAGTAAACATTGATGATGGTCTCACACCTCCCATGCATTTCAAAAAATGATCGAAAAGTCATTCAAATATTGTTGTTGTTTCATCATATAGAAGAGCAGCCGCAAAGACAGTGAGTTGGTGATGATGGTTGAACCAACAAACAAAGCTACAAAAACATAAAAAATGTGAGTAAAAACAATTCTACCAACACATACCACGTGGTAGAAGGTACAAATAACAATAATACCACCTCGTACCATATGGTAAAGACATCTAAGAACAAAACACTAATCCATACCAACCCATACCATATGGTAAAGACTTCTAAGAACAAAACACTAATCCATACCAACTCATACCATATGGTACAGACTTCTAAAACGCAAACACCACCTCATATATACCATGATACATGATACAGAATGATAAAAATAATCATACAAACTCACAAATACAATAATAAACAACAAAGTAGAAAACATAGCTAGTGGTCGATACTCTTTATTAGTCCGATAAGTAGTATCAAAACTAATTGAATCACCAAAATAATGATAATCCATCCGCATCTTCCCATCTGCCCAAAAAATACTAGCAATGTTCTCTTCAACATCAACCTCCACCTCATGAAAGAACCCAGGATCCAGCTGTGCTTGACGTCTAAAGTATGAAAGCAATGCAGTTGCATCACCATACTCCATTGATAACGTCTTCACAGTTCGCAGATGGTTCTTCAAATCATTCTTTGTGAACCCAATAAACTTTCGACCACCACCAGTCCTACTAATTGCATTATACGAAGAAGTAAAACCAATACCATTAGCATCATTCACCTCTGCCAACATCTTGTACACAAGAGCCATTTGTCTGCTGGATCTCACATAGTGACGCAGAGACTCAGGAATCATGTCATGGTTGTGCACATTATACCAACGATAGATCTTGTAGCATTTCAACTCTTTAAACCACCTCACTCGTATATAAGCACCATTACATCCACCCCTGAGTTCTAGAACATTACGAACACGAACCTTCGTATCAACAACAACTACATTATCAGGGTTATTCTCACTACCTTTTCTCCAACCTTCCTTATTGCAACAATACTTGATATAATAAACAGCTGAAGAACCACCATTGAACTTCGGACATGCTGATTGGTTATAAATTCTCACATCAAAACCTTCATGATCACATAATCCACATAGAAATTATATACATCATCTGGTGTATTGAATCGTAAGTCCTTCCAAGAATCACGAACAGTAGGATATATATCATTGAAACCTACAAACATTATAAAGCAACATATCAAATATGTACAAATATAATACCACCATGGTATGATATGGTAAAATGGATTCCACACCACAACAGAATCACATCTCAGCATATACCAGTAATTACCACCATGGTAAGATATGGCAAAATTAATTCCACACCACAACAGTATGAAATCTCAATGTATACCAATAATTATAGCCATGATACAACAATTACCACTTTGGTATGATATGGAAAAATGAATTCCATGCCATAACAGAATCACATCTCAGCATATACCGATGATTCCAACCATGATACAAGTAATTACCACCATGGTATGATATGGTAAACTGAATTCCACACCACAACAGAATCACATCTCAGCATATACCAGTAATTACCACCATGGTAAGATATGGCAAAATTACAGCCATGATACAACAATTACTACCATGGTATGATATGGTAAAATGAATTCCACGGTACAACAGAATCACATCTCAGCATATACCAATGATTACAACCATGGTACAAGTAATTACCACCATGGTATGATATGGTAAAATGAATTCCACACCACAACAGAATCACATCTCACCATATACCAGTAATTACTACCATGGTAAGATATGGCAAAATTAATTCCACACCAAAACAGAATCACATCTCAACATATACCAAAGATTACAACCATGGTACAAATAATTACCACCATGGTATGATATGGTAAAACTTAAATACAGAGCACAATAATATCACAACACAACACTATAGTATCACCTCTCATCGTATACCAGTAATTACCACCATGGTACCAAATGGTATCTAACACATTCAAACTTCAATTAACAAACAAATTTGTATATCTTACCTCCTGATTCACCAAAGTTAGGTGAATGACCAAATCCAAGATCGCTAGATGAAGAAGCGGTTCCAACAACGCTAGATGAAGAACCAGATCCTACAACACTAGATGAAGAACCAGATCCTACAACGCTAGTTGAAGAACCAGATCTATCGAATGGAACAACATCTCCACAATTTATGTAACTCATCTCACCAGAATACTGCAAAAACACCAAACCACAAAGAACATGAACAAGCTCGATTAGCTAAACAGAGCACACAAAGAATCTCAGACAAAGTAAAATCTACAAAACCTACAAAAAAACACTCTCGATTAGCTAAACATGAACAAGCTCGACTACTAATTATCGCAATGAAAAACCTACAACGAAACCAGAGATCAACAGAACGCTCAACGAAACCAAAGATCAACAGAAGACTCAACGAATCACGCCAGGTTAAAAGTTAATGACAGAACAGGAAGAATCATAAAAACTAATATCTAACCGGAGATAAACTCGCCGTCGATTTAGGTAATCCACCTAAGTTCTCGCCGTCGATCAATTATGGAGAGAAAAATTCTTCATAGCTATCCCCTGTTTCTAAGCTGCTGGTCGCACTTTCTCTCTCCAAAAAACCCAATCCAGCTCGCCCAGAAAGATTCGCAACGGATAAAGAGGGAGAGTAATTAATTCAAATAACGGACAAAATGCCCTTGACCATCACCGCATCAATCACAGCTACAAGATGAGTCCGGCCCAGATCGACGGTTGCTATGTGGTTACTCACCCTATCTAATGCCTCCAAACCCTCCCATTAACCCGACCGAGTTATTTGAACTAAGAGGTTGTGATTATTGATTTTAAAACCTAGCCTAGCCCCTTCCTTGCATTTTCTTTTCCTCTACAAAACCCTCCTGAAACCCGACTTCACCCTGCCTTTCCTCTCGCGTCTCCAACTGTCTCTCCGCATGCCGACCTCCACTTTCCCAGAGCCAGTCGCGTGCGCCAGCATTCAATGATCCCTCCCCCCCTTCGTCGCTGTCGTCTGCTCCTTCCTCTTCTCGTCGGCTACAGTTTATCGGCAGTGGCCCCTCTTTTTGGTGGCTCCGCGACATTCCGCCCCTCCCCTTTCATTAGTCGTCTTCTTGTGTTTTCAGGTAAGTTTGAGCATCAATTTGTTCTTCCTCTTGGAAAATTGAAATCTAGGGTTCTTGGTTTGGGAAATTGGGGATTTTTGAAAACTTGAAAAAATTGGAGGGGAAAGTACCAATAGAACGCAACTTTCTTGCTTCATAGCATGTTGTGATAGTGTTGTTGCAAGAGATATAGTATGGTGGGTGAATTTTTTTTTTTTGCGCTTCCGGTTGAGTTGTGCCCACCATGTGTTCGATAGAAAGCCTTAATGAACTTTTCCACTTTGAATGTGATTGGGCTTTCTTGAACTTCATTCTTGGGCGCTATGTATTGACTTCCTCCCTGATTTTAGTGTGATTGTCGGTGGTTTTGAACCCTCTAGCATGATTGCCATACCTGTGCTTTCTTACTAATGGTTTTTTTGGCTTTTTTGTTTGCTTTTTGATTGGTCGCCTTCTGTGTTGTCTATGCAGGATGAATCAAGGCAGACACAGTGGTCGTGGTCAACAAGGCAATTGTCGGGGTTGAGGCTGAGGTCGAGGCAGGGCCTTGGCCAATGAACCAGTCGATTCTCCAATTCAGCATGGATGGTTCGACATCATGTTACTCAACCTGGAGGCTCGGGAGAGGATGACTTTACTATCTTTGCTACCTTTTGGCGAGCCTCGTTGTTTGGATTCGGACACCGCGCACTTTGTTCGGGTTTTCAACTCCATTAATGACATGCTTAGTGATGGCTACTGGCGGGTAGTGTTTGAGATCAAAGAGATCATATACAGGGAGCTCACATTGGAGTTCTTGGCTTCTTTCACCCCTACCAAGGCAGCTTTGAAGAACTTCTACTTGCCCAATGGCTTACTTTTCACCTTGGTGTTCAGCTCTACACTATGTCTCTTACCTAGTTCAGCGTCGCTATGGTATTGTACTCCGAGGACTTTATTCACACCGTCCTCTACCGTCTCCTTGGGATTGAGAAGAAATTCACGACATTAGCCCTTTTAGATTAGCGATGGCAGGATACTCTTATTGTGGGTCTTTCTTTTGAGTAGCGCAATGCCAAGGCGAGCATGCTTCATCATGATTTTGGCTACTCCATAACGTCTTGAGCCACATGCTTCTCCCTCAACGTGGCAGCTTGGATGCCATTAGCAACCTTCATCTTGCCATTTTCACCTATCTTGCATGCTCCATGCCTATCTATGTGCGCCACTCTCTTGTGAGGACCTTACACAACATCAGCACCAGGTCAAACATTAGCCTGGTTCGTGGCGGGGCCTTTGTCATTCGCCTTGCTCGGCGCCTTAGCCTTGATCTAGTGACAATGGGGTGTACGCCTGTTGGCCGCACCATCCCCCTCTCTCTTGAGCATTGGCAGTCCATGACTAAGCAAGATCCACCTTCTGTGTAATTCAACGAGGATGGCCACTATGACGCCTCCCCCAGAGTTCCATTGGACGATCAGCCACTTGCACCGCCCTGACCTGCTCGGACTCGTGAGCACTTCCGCATCCGGTGGTTGCGCCCTTTGCGCACTGGTACGCGCACCTTGACTGACTTGAGTCCACTAAGGAGCTCATCCTCCAGCATCTCGCCGTCTCCTATGTGCCTTTCCACCACTCTTCTGTGGCCTCTAATTCTGGTGGCGGACCTTCTCTCACCCAGGCAACAGTAGGATGACGACGACTGGCCTGACGAGGGTGACTATGCTAGCTCTGATTGATCCCACCGCGGGCTGCTGCTTTGTGTGTTTTGTTTCCTTTTCAGACTCAGACTTTGCGTCCTTTTTCTTTCTATCTTCTTTTGGATTGTGAACTTGGAACTATGGTTTGGTTTGTCTATCATCCAATGTGTCGATTTGATGTTTTAGTTACATGCCTCCTGACTGGTCCACTCTCTAGTCCTTTTGCATTCGTTTCTCCTGGTAACATCGTTCCCCTTATCCTTCCCTCTTCACCATTGAGGGCAATGTCGATCTTAAAGTGTGGGAAGGTGTTTCTCTTTGACTACAAAATGTGTTTATATGCTTGGAGCCTAGTCCACTGTCCAAATTTTATAATTTGTGGCCTCCAAGTACAGATGTTTGAATGATCATATTGCCACAGTGTTTGTTTGTGGTGAATCGATTGACTATTGGCATTAATGCATGAAAGACTTGTTTGTGATTGGGACAACCTATAATGATGACTGAGACGTGCTGTAGAGTCGTATAGGGTTCAACTTTTAAATTGTCTGCTTACCAACTACGACTAGGATTGATCACTGATTTATAGTCCTTTATGCATCTAGTTCAGGGAATCATAATTAGAGACGGAGAATATAGGTAGCCATGTGATATTTGAGCCTGCTCGTTTCTTTCTGTGCGATAGATCCGTTTTATCATGATGGGTAGCATTGAAGTTGCCACTAATTAGGATGATGGAGGCATATGATTGAACCACGACCAAATTGATTGTCATGGTGTGTCATACCCCTTAGTCAGCCCCTTTGCCCCTTGTAACTTTCTTTCTTTGTGTCTACAATGAAAAACACCAATTTGTATCTCTTTGAGGTTCCTCAAAGTGGTTTTTGCATGTTTTTTGCATGAAATAAAGTGAGTGTTGGAGGAAGTTCTTAAAAATTTAGGCATATGCTTGAAAAGATAAAAAAATGTGGCAAGAGTTGTGGTTCTCTAAAAGAAAACAAATTAAAAAAAAATGCAAGCAAAAGAGAGTTGCCACAAACAATTTAAACATGCTCAAAACATATTGTTACCACCTTTACTCTTGTGCTATGAAGAGCTTTTTTTTATTGGAAGGAGGCTGAAAGCCAGAGAAAAATAGTCCCCGAGGATCAAAAGGAAAAGTTTGGGCGGCCAACTACAAGCAGAGGACTCCGCCCAAAACAGATCCTGTAAGCTGGGAGCAAATTAATAACCAAAGAAAAAGCAGACAAACTATACTAATCCCCTAGGCCAACAATGACTTGTCTAGGGAAGCTAACACCAATGATTTATTCACGGAGGAGTCTCTCGAGATCCATTGGAAGTACATATAGTTCATACGTACCAAAAGGATAGACGAGACTGTGCTTCGAGAGCCAGTCCGCGACTCTATTTCCTTCCTGATACGTATGCACCAAATGAACTATCCAATTCTGAGCTATCTGTCTGCGGATCATATTCAAAAGGGTAGCATGAGGGTGAACTGGATCCCGTCTATTGTTAATCAGGTCAATGGCTAGCTTGGAGTCAGTTTCCACAATCAAACATTGGATGTTCTTATTCCAAGCTAGCTCCAACCCTCTATGGATGCCCCACAGTTCTGCAAGAGTAGCGGACCAGTGCCAATATTACAGCAGAAGCCGCTGATCCAATCGCCATTCTCGTCTCTGATGCACCCCCCTGCTCCCATGAGGCTTGGATTATCTTGAGCTGAGCCATCGATGTTAAGTTTGAACCATCCAGCCGGAGGTGGACGCCAGCCTATAAGCCTTTCTTCTCGATCTGGTCTTGACGATTGATTGAGTCTAGCAGTTGCTGTTTCCCACGTCTTTGTCCAGTCCTTCGCTTTTGAGATTATATAATTGATCAAGGTCGGTCTTGACAATCTTGTCCCTTTGAAGATGAAGTCATTTCGATGTTTCCATATGTACCAACAAATAATGGAGAAGAAATTGTTCCAGCCGCCTATCTTTTATGTTTTGTCATCCTTTTCCAGATTCTGCTTTAGCCAGGAATCATAATCTGTAGCAAAAAAATAATGTTGTAATTGTTGAGGAACTATTTTCTCCCAGACCTGTTTAATAGTCCCGCAATCTCTCAAGCAATGCATATTAGTTTCAGTCTCCAAGTCGCAGAGTGAGCATTTGTCGTTGTAGGTGAGATGTCTGTATTTTCTGATGTTGTTAGTCGACAACCTCCCCTTTGCAGCTGTCCAAATGAATAGTCACAATCTTTCTGGAACGTGCAGCTGCCAAATCTTTCGCCATGGAATTAGATTCGTGCTAGCTGCCTGAGGCGCTGCTAGAGTGTAGGCCGTGGTGCTAAATCTGCCATTAGCGGTTGGTTTCCAGAAAAGTTGATCTTCCTCGGTAGAAAAAGGATCTAGCAGAAAAGCTCTCAGTTTGTCCAAAACATCCTATGGTAGATAACCAACCAGCTCTGCTATCTTCCAACCTATATTGGAGTCCCAATAGTCAGCAACCTTTTTGTTTTGAGCCTCCAGGGGAACATCTGATGTCGCCAAATCCATTAGCCATTCCTGCAAAATCCAGGGATCCCACCAAAAGTTAGTATGTTTCCCGTTCTTAACATTTCGGGCAGCCCCTTTGCATATAAGTTGGGTAGTATGATTGAAACTACGCCAAGCATGTGAACTTCCCATAGTTTTCTTAAGAATCTGGAGACCATCCCTGCCATGTCCATATCTACTTCTGATCGTTTTTGTCCATAAGGATTTATCATCCGTTGCTAGACGCCAAGCTCCCTTGGCCAACATTGCTTGGTTGGCCAACCTAGTAGGCCGAATCCCCGATCCTCCTTGGGAGCGAGGAATTATAACCTGGTTCCAGGACACTGTGTGAAGTTTAGTTTTGTTGTCATCTTCTCCCCAAATGAAGCGTCTATTGCACCTGCCAATATCATTACACACTCCAGCCGGGATTAGCTCAGAATACATAGGGTAGAGGGCTATGTTAGACGTTACTGCCTTGACAAGAGTGACTCAGGCTGCCATAGACAGCTGCCTAGTTTTCCAAGAAGCCAATTTCTTTTGGATTTTGAGAAGAAGTTCTTTATAGAGACTTCGCGTGATCCTGCCATTAATCGCCATCAGCCCCAGGTATCTTCCTAAATCGGTGGTGAGAGTGATCCCTGCTCGAGAGCTTAGCCGTTGAGCCTTTTCTCTAGAGATGTTGAGAGAAATGAACATGGCTGATTTATTGAAGTTGACTCGCTGGCCAGAGCTGGAACAGAACTCATCCAAGCAGTTTTTGATGGTGTCCACTTGTCTACCTTCTACTTCTGCAAATAAAATTAGATCGTCTGCACAAAAAAAAGATGAGAAAGTTTAGGTCCATCTTTAGAAAGAGTTAACTGTTTCCAAAGTTTATCTTCTATGGCCTGTTCAATTCTATGTGCTAGACGCTCCATACACAAAATGAAAAGAAAAGGGGAAAGAGGATCTCCCTGACGAACTCCCCTGGTTGGAATGATCGGTTCTGAGAGATTCCCATTCCAATTAATCTTCATTTTGTTTCTCTCTACGCATGTCATAATTCTGTTGATGAAGGAACTGGCCAACCCGATTTTCCCCAGAGTGTCTCTGATGAAGTCCCACTTCAGTCTGTCGTACGCTTTCTCTAGATCGATCTTGATCACCAAGCCTCCCTTGCTCCCTTTTTTGTTGCGAAGATAGTGAAGAGCTTGATTAATGCAGAATATAAAAAAGAAAGTAATTGGTTGAAATGAATGTTGTTGTGTTGGATTTGGAACTGTGGAACCTTGTGTCATGAATTTTACCACCACCTGAAAGTCCTGTTCCTGTGTCCTAGACCCTAGTCAATTGCATTTGAAACTTGTCAAGTCCTCTTGACAAGTTAGTAGTGACACCCGATATGTGAACTCTAGCATTTAGAGGCTGCCGTCATGGTGAAGAGACGATAGGGATTAAGAGTATGATTATGCATATATTTTGCATCAAATTTTGTCTTGGCCTCAATGGTCGAGATTGAGTGATTCATTTTCATTATTACATACCTCGGTGAGGACCTATATTGCTCGGTCTTGATTCTGGTGTCTTGAGCTCTATGCATGGGCGACTGTTTTGAATGAGTGGTTGAGTCGAGTCAATGTTGGTCTGTGGATAGAAGGGAGACTCTTCCTCTACCCAATTTTGCTGCACTCGAATGCCATCTGTTGTGGTTGTACAGGTTGCTGTTGTTGTTGATGTTGTTCATGTCTAATAGGCAGTATGCTTAATGTGTTTTGTGCCTCTATGATATGTCCCAGAATCTTGCATGGTTAATTTTCTTTTTATAGATTATCTTGTGTCTGACTTGATTTGCTTGGGAACAAGCAAACGGTTAAGTGGGGGGAGGGGGGGGGGGGAATTTGATAGCACAATATTTGCACATATTTATCCATTCATTTCTTGATCGTTTAGCTTAGCGATTGACCATCACTTGGCCTATTTTATGCTAGGTTGTGTTATTTTGTCATATTTCAGGTCCTAGTACGTAGATATGGCTTGGGGATAAGTTTGGGACCTTTGGAGATGAAAGAAGGTCGATCTCAAAATCGGGCAGCAGAGCTGCTGAACAACACACCCTCAAACACGCCCTCTATTGTGCAACACACGACCTTGTGCCATCAATCGGGTTTTTCCTCTACACTTCACATAATAGACGTTTTCAAACACGACCCGTTCTGATTAAAAACACAGTCATGTTTGGGTAGGGGTGGGCATCCCGTTCGGTAAACCCAAATCAAACCGGACCGAAACCGAACTAAACCTAACTAAAACTGAACTATCCTTATTCGGTTCAAAATTCAGAAGGCAAAAACCAATACTTCGGGAGCTAGGGCCTGCCAACTAAAACCGAATTCCGATTTCCAAACCGACCAACCGAACTTACCCAAATCCTAAACCACAACCCCAAGCCCACACAAGCCCAAGCCCGCTACATCTTTTACCCATTTATCTAGTCAAACCCTAGCCCACCCAAAACTCACAACAATCAACAGTGGAGGGGTGAACCTGGGCGGCAGTCTCTCGGTGATGAAAGAGCAGAACCGCGGCGGTCCCTCGACGACCCCGCCGGCGATTGCAACAATAGATCATCTATTATAGATGACGAAGAAGGAGAAGGCTTGGAGGAATGGGTGGAGAAGTACAAATCCTCGAGCTCTTTCAAGATCTGCCAGATTCGATACCTTCGCCGTCAAATCAAGATCTGCTCGAGGCCACCGCTGTCGCCGTTGCCGCCGTTGCCGCCTGCCGCCGTGTGGTTCTCTCCGCCAATCTCCATCGTCGGGTGCCCTTGGGTTCCCTCTCGCAATCGCCGAGTCCAGAGGTGGGAGGAAATCACGACTGCCGGACTACGTATGCGACTATGCGTTGGGCTTTGAGGAGAGAGAGAGAGAGAGAGAGAGAGAGAGAGAGTGGGTCTGCGTAGATGGTAAATGGGGAGAGGGTTAGTGGGGAGAGAGTCCGAGAGACTTAATACTAAAATTTCGGGTTTGGCCTCAAAACCGAGCCGAACCGAGATATATTTCGGTTAGAATTCGGTTGGCTCCATGAGCTATTTCAGGGACCCGGTAATCATTAGTTCAGTTCTGTTTGAATCGAACCGACCG